GAGTTATCAATGGAGTGAGCAGGATTGATCTTCATGAACTGGATAAAGGGGCCATTTTCCAAGACTTCCCACATTTCATCATGAAGGGCACATAGATGTGCCTTCATTCTGATCTTCCAATCATCATACTTCTGATCTGTGAACACAAGATGCTTTGCAAGAGAATTATCCATAATAATAAATAAAGAGAGGCTAAGAACAAGTGGATCTTTGTTCAGAGAGTAACCTAAAAGATTACAAGAACAAGGAGGCTCTGATACCACTTGTTGGTCCCGTTTAATATGGTAATCAGTCTAGAGGGGGGGGGTGAATAGACTGATTGGTTTTTCAAATTTTCTCTAAGTCCAAAGTGACTTATCAGAGAATGTCTGATTCTGATGACAGAGAAAGGCTGGTTCTGATATCAGAACTGGCCTTGACAGCGGATTCTGATGTGTCCGGGTAGCCTCAGAAGCACTAAGGCAGATGCCTTTCTGATAACTCTGAAAACAAGATCTGCTGAACACAGATTCCAAGTCTTAGAGTTAATCAGTTAATATCCTAAGTGCAGAAATATAAATTGCAGTAAGGTAAATGACACCGGATATTTTATAGTGGTTCAAGGAACAACTCGTTCCTCTAGTCCACTGTTCCACTAGCTTTGAAGTAGATCGGTTACAAAGCTAAATCCTAGCACTCAAGAAGCACTCCTCGTCTTCTTCAAGCCTAGATGCCACCCAGGATGCAGTTCCACGTCCTGATGGCTGATCCTTTCACTCAGCTTCCCGGAAGTATCACCACTTCACTACTGCAGTTACTTGGACGCCCTTCTTTTCAGAAGATCCTTTGAAAAACAGAGTTTTTCCTCCAACTTGCTTCGTCACAAATGATGTTTGATGAAGTTCTTGAAGAGTTGAAGAACAGGATGAACTTTGCTCGTCTGTTGGGGATGAGAGATTTGGAGTTTGAATCTTCCCAACGTAAGCTCGTTTTGTTGAAGGTTGTAGAATTTGAATCTCAAGAGAGCTTGAGTTATGATGACCAAAAGTTGTGGCAAAGTTATTTTCCAGTTCTTCGGAAAGTAGCTTATATACTGGGGTTGTCTGCCCGTTGGAGGAGGAGACAACTGCATTAAATGCGCGTACAGTTGACTTGACCGCCGTTTTGGAAGGTTTCTATTTTTATAATATATCTTCCCGGATTCCTTGGTCAATCATTTGCAATCAATCCTTCAGCGTATCAGGCTCATTTAATGTGCATTAAATGCTTTCCTTTCATGCACAGTCTTGTAGCCGTTGGATGTTCTTACCCGTTGAATTCAAAGCTGTTGGATGTTGCTTGAAATCTCCTAAGTGTTAGTCGGGCTCTGATCAGCCTCTTCTGATATGTTGGATTCTGATGGCTTTCTGATGGGTTGAGTTCTGATGGAGTTCTGATCTCTGACTGAACTCTGACTCTGACTCTGATAGATCTGCTGATGAGTACCTCTGATCTGTAGTTCTCATCGGCTATCAGATGTCCAAGTTTATCAGCAACTCTCAGTGGTGCAACTCTGATGGACTTCTGGTAAGAGAACTCTGATGGAGCAGTTCTCATAGAGCAAGTCTGGTAGAGCAGTTCTGACGCACTCTTGATCTGATCCAAAATTGAGCAATTCTGATCGTCGACTACACTAATACTTACAATTAAAAATTCTAATACATAAAATCTAATTTGGGGGTACTCTAACTTTCTAATCCTATAGCATCATCAAAATCTAATTACATTTATTCCTTACAGAAGACATGATTCTAACTCTTGCTACTACCATAGGCACCTTACAACAAAACGTGGTGCAATTTCAACAAGAAACAAAGTCAAGCATTCAAAATTTGGAAACTCAAGTTAGCCAAATTTCGAATGTTGTAAATCGACTTGAAGCAAGAGATTCGGGTAGGCTCCCGTCCCAAACTGAGCAAAACCCAAGGCAACAAGTCAATGCCATCATGCTAAGGAGTAGCCCGGAATCACAAGCAAAGGAAAGTGAAAAAGAGGAGATTGAACACAAGGAGGAGGAGCCAACGAAGAGAAAATTTCCTCCACTATCATCATATGAACCAATCCCGCCATTCCCTGAGGCATTGAAAGACACAAGGAAGCTAGAGAGTAATCAGAACATCTATGAGACCTTCGCCGATTGTGAGGTAAATACCCCACTCTTTAAACTAATCCAAAGTGTTCCTCGTTATGCAAAGTTCTTAAAAGAACTATGTATAATGAAAAGAAAAGATAAATTAAAGGGGAAACAAAAGGTTGAAGTTAGTGAACAGGTCTCGACCATCTTTCAAGAAAAATTTCCAAAAAAATGTGGCGACCCGGGCATGTTCACTATTCCTTGCACGATAGGAAACACCACATTTCCTAAGGCCTTACTAGATTTGGGGGCATCTATAAACGTCATTCCTTATTCCGTTTATAAAACCCTACAACTTAGCCCACTACATCAAACCGGTGTAGTGATTCAACTAGCAGATCATTCTAGTACCTACCCGAAGGGTGTATTAGAAGATGTGCTAGTAGAGGTAGAGAATATGGTTTTTCCCGTCGACTTCTACGTCCTCGAAATGGGGAATGATGACCAAACAGCGCCCATCCTTTTGGGAAGACCCTTCTTAAAGACCGCAAAAACAAAAATCGATGTGTCTAGTGGTTCATTAACTTTAGAGTTCAATGACCAAAAAGTAGAGTTCAATATCTTTGACTCTACGAAAAAACAAATTAAAGATCAATCTCTTTGCTCTTTAAATGTTTTTGAACCACCAACACCAAATGCTTTAATTGAGTCGGGAACAAAGAAGAAAGGTCGGCCTTACTGGAAAAGGCAAAAGAAAAGAAATGAAGGAAGGGATGCTCACGATCCCACATAAAATAAAAAATAAAAATAAATAAAACGTCGTGCCACGACGTTAAATAAGGCGCTTCTTGGGAGGCAACCCAAGTCAATTAGTTAGATTTTATTTCTTTTTTTGTGTAAATTTGAGAGAGAGGAAACTAATCACATGTTTGTTTTGAAAAAAAAAAATGAGAAAAATATATCTGGGGACATGCTCGATCGAGTACTCTGTAATACTCGGTCGGGTATTGGTAAAAAAGGGAACCCGGTTTCCATACTCGATTGAGGTGCAGATCAATTTTCAAAGATACAGGCATACTCGATCGAGTATTGGAACATACCCGGTCGAGTATGCCTGGGAAATCAACTCCATCGGAAGCCTGCCTCCGAGGCCCGATCGAGTACATACATGATCATACTCGGTCGAGTATAACGGGAAAAAGAACTTTATTTCATCCCTGCCTCCAATACTCGATCGAGTACAGGTTAATACTCGGTCGAGTATGCTCAGAAAAGCTAGTTTCCCAGCCCCTGTCTCCTGTACCCGATCGGGTATACAGGGATACTCGATCGGGTACCCCTGCGGATATAACCCCAAATACACCCCAAAACACTTCATCTTCCCCAAAACTCTCAAAAATTTCGAACAACCTCTCCCCCAAACTCCATTTTCAACCCTTCTCTCTACCATATCTCTCTCAATTCTTCACCAAATCAACCCATTCTTCCACCACAATACTCCCCTTCCTCTCCTCTCCATATCTATACCCATAAATCCCATCTTCCCCAAACCTCCACCAAATCCCTAAAAAAACCCTACCTCATTCAAATTTGAACTCCAAAGCTTCACAAATGGCTCCAAGGAAGCAAAGGGGAGAAAGTTCAAACTCCATGGCACCTATTCCCGGCTTTGAGGACATCATTCCCGCCGACGCCGAACACCGAACAAGACTCCTATCAACAACAAAAAGGCAAGTAAAACCTTCCCGTTTTCTTTGCCATGATGCTCTACGAGAATTAGGAGTCTATAAGAGTTGTAGAAAATTCTTTCATGCATTAGATATGGACCGTATTTTCAATATGAAATACAATTCTAATGAACGGATTATCTACGAATTCTTGAGTTCGGTAAAATTTGAAAGTGATGAGGCGGATTTTAGGGATGATAGACTCGAGTTTCGTCTGTTTAACCGAAACTATTCAATAACGAAACTCGAGTTTGCTGAACACTTTGGTATCCCGGTGCCCTACGAGAGAGCCATCTCGGATAACACCATTTTTGGGCACTCCCTATGGACAAAGATGACCGGGGAAGTGAAATTTAGTTCCTCCCAAATGTATATCAGTCATGTCCAACACCCCGTTCTCCGGTTGTTCTTAAAATTCTTGGCGAATTGCTTGCTTGGCCGTCCCAACAACCATCACACTAGAATCGGGGACGTGTGTTTGATGTCCGTGGCCTTATTCCGTCGCCACGTGGACTTTAATCTATGCAATCTCATATGGGCACATTTAAAAAAGGAAAGCTTAGCCAAAGGGACCATAGTTGTGGGTGGAGTGATAATGCACTTGGCGAGTAGGTACGGGTATACGGATAACTCTCCTATACCCGACTATTGCTTGATGGATATGGGTTGGTTAGGACGCTCGGGATGTACATCTTTCTCCCATACGGTTTATATTGGAGACCAACCCAAAAACATGTACAATTGGGTCATCCACGTACAACCTGTCCAATATTTCCTAATGCCAAACCCGGACACCCCCAAACTAACCTATAGACCGGAGTTCGAGGTGCCCCATTTCCTATTCCCTCATGCCCTTCCACCACATCTCCAAGAACCACAAGCCCAAGATCTCCCAGAAGACCATCCCGACCAAGAACCTCAACCCGAGCACCAAGAACCCGAGGTTGCACATCACTACCTACCTGCACCAAACCAAGCCCCCCCACCTCCCGATTACTTCCAACAAATGCTTGAAGGACTCAACAAAGTTACCAATGAAGTTGGTAAATATCGGGAGGAACAAAGGGCGGGATTTCAAAGGCTAGAGGAGCAACGGGCCGAAGACAACCGCAGATATGAAGAAGATCAACGTAGGTTTTATGGACCTATGTACTCTTACATGGCTCATCAAGGCCAATTCCATACCATGGCTCAACCACCCCCACCCCCCTCTTGGTATGACCCCACTCAATGGGGCAACTTTGGAGGATCGAGCTCCAGGGGTGGCGGTTTTGATGGTGGGGACGGCGGGGATACTCACATGGGAGACGGGAGCTTTGGAGAAGGCTTCGGAAGCGGCTTTGGAGGCAGTTACTACGGCGGAGAAGGCGGGCACTAGGGACAGTGCTTCAACTAAGTGTGGGGGAGGAGATTACTCATGGTATGTAATTTAATTTTCTACCTTTTACTATGCATGAATTTCTTTTACTCTTTATACACAAAAAAAAAAATGGATAAATAAAAGAATTGAAATGCTAGTTAGGTTGAAAACCCAAGAATGGGCAATCTAAGCAAAAATGGCTTATAAAAAATTTTGAGTGAGTTTGGAAAGGATGGAAAAACAAAAAGAGATGCTAGGATGAAAACCTGAAAAGGCTCCTAGGCAAAATGAGAGATATGAGAGAAATATTTTTCTGTGTGCAGGAACTCATTTGATCTCTTGGAGGAAGAAGAAGAAGAGAAAAAGAAGAGGAGAAGAAGATGAACACTAGAAGACCATAAAACCCAAGATGATATTTAGCATTAAAACTCATATTTTATCCTTGGTGGTCTTTGTGTTTTTATCTTGTTGAATCTATTGGAACTCGGGAGTCTCTACACTTGTAAACATTGAACTTTACTCGAGGACGAGTAAAGAATTAAGTGTGGGGGAGTTGATACGTTTGTAATTTCCGTATGTTTATTTACGTCTTTAGTTAGTTTTGATTGTTTAATATTTCGGAAATTACACACTTTCGGTGTAATAGTTTAGTTTGTTAAATTCTTGTAATTTGTTTAGATTAGGTTTATTCTGAGCTTAAACAGGTCCAAGATCAATCAAATGATCAATGGTGAAGGAAGGTGCAAGAGTACAAGACAAAAAGAAGGAAAAATCCTGATTTTGGTCTATACTCGGTCGAGTATATACATATACTCGATCGGGTATCTGGTTGACATTTCAAATCGGATCGGATCCGAAAACAAAGGAACATGCAAGAGAAGATTTTCCCACGTTCGAGTGTCTATACCCGATCGGGTATACTTATATACTCGATCGGGTATACATATAAAATCTACTCGAGTATTGATCGAGTATTGACCAAATTCTGATTTCTATACATACTCGATCGAGTATGTATACATACTCGATCGAGTACTCGATCCTGCACCTCAAAAAGCCTATAAATACACCTCCTTTCCTTCACTTTTAGAAAACCAATTCCTATACACTCTTAAGCTCAGTTTAGAATAGCATTTCTTTATATTTCTTTTAGCATGTTTAGTCTCCAAATGAGGAGCTAAACTTCCATTTCTTGGTATTGCTCTTGAAGCTTGTTGATTATCAAAGTTGTGAGTTATTTTCTTAACTTCTTTTCCTTGAATATTAATTCTTCCTTTAAATACTATTTCTATATCAATGTTGGGGAGTGTTGCTAAGATGACAATTAGTTAACATCTTGACATTAGTTATAGTAATAGTCATTTCTTCCTCTATGTTAATATTGGGGAGTGTTACTAAGATGAAAATTAGTTAACATCTTGATATTAACTATAGTAGGATTCATCTTCTTTAATATTCTTCCTTGAGTATCAATTAATTCCACTACTAGAAAAAGCATTTTTAAACACAAAAAATTTCGTCGTTGTAGGCCCAAAAGTTCGTCGTTAAAACTGTTAACGACGAATTTTTTTTGGTCGTCAAGTTGTTGTAATAGCTTCCGTCGTTAATGATTTTAACGACAAAGTTCGTCGTACACAATTAACGACGACACTATTTCGTCGTTAAATAATAACGATGAAATAATAGCTCGTCGTTGCATAATAACGACAAGAGAATAACTTGTCGTTTTATAATAACGACGATATAAATTTTCATTGTTACATGGTAACAGGATATAATCATTTTTTTATTTTATAATTCACTTCTAATTTGAATTATTTTATTCTAGAAAAGTTCACTGCAAATTCAAATTATTTATAACTAGCCGAACAATGAAAAATTCTCATCAATATTTATTTAATTAATAAGTATTGAAAAGATCAAACTATTAACCATCTTCTGTCATCAAGTTTAAAAACAACCAACGGATGCAACAAAATATCTTTAATGTAAAATTATTGTTGGATGTCTACACGATAACAATAATCATTCTCACAAACAAATAAAATCTAAAAAATAAAGTTCTAAAATATATGTTTTATTGCTGGAAATCTGCAGAATATTAACTCTTCACTACTGGCATGGTACGTCTAAATCAACATATATAATACTAATCTTCAATTCTTCACTACCAGTGACTTTTCAACTTCTCTCCAAATACCTACAAAAATAGAATAGAAAGACAGAAATCAGATCACAAAATCCAAATGAAACAAATACAATATCTCTTAAATGAGACTTAATTTTAACTGCAGCTCTCTGGTACACTACAGTTTGACAAACATCTTTGGATTCATCTCTAAAAGCTCACAAGAGGATCAGATCATATCTCAAACACTGATGTATACTTTCTAAACATGAAAACCAAGAGTTGTGTGTATAATTCAAGATTCACTTTTAATTTTTGACTGCAGCTCTCTGGTACACTACAGTTTGACAATCATCTTTGGATTCATCTCTAAAAGCTCACAACAGGATCGGATCATATCACATGCACTGATGTATACTTTCTAAACATGAAAACCACGAGCTGTGTGTATAATTCAAAATTCACTTTTAATTTTTTACTGCAGCTCTCTGGTACACTACAGTTTGACAATCATCTTTGGATTCATCTCTAAAAGCTCACAAGAGGATCAGATCATATCACATGCACTGATGTATACTTTCTAAACCTTGAAAACCAAGAGCTGTGTGTATAATTCAAGATTCACTTCTAATTTATTTGCAATAGTAATTTAAACATACCTAGTAGGAAACTCTAACGAGGAATTGAAAAATTAAGTTGCTTCACCAGCATATCTTGAAACATTTGCATTCGGGACTCCACGGAACCCACACGATCCTTAAGCTCAGTGTTCTCCTCTTGAATCGTCTCCACACGATCCTTAAGCTCAGTGTTCTCCTCTTGAATCGTCCCCACACGATCCTTAAGCTCATTATTCTCCTCTTCAATCGTCTCCACACGATTGACCAAAAATTGATTCTGCTTTTTAGTGGCATTCAATTCAGCTTGAAGTTCTTCTCTACTAGGTTGTGGTCCTGTTATATCTTTAAGCTTTATTCCTCCTCCATAACCCACAACCCGATCTTTAGACTTAGATTTAAAAACCTTTTGTGCCACCTATGCATCAGAAAAATACAAACTGGATATTAAGAAACAAGACACCCATATGGCCATATATACTTTGACTACAAAATCACTGTTCTTCACACCCTCGAGTCAAATAAAGAAGTGGATAAATATAGTCACCTGAACATTTGAAAGCGATGGATCTTTTTCCAGCGTCTCACGAATTTCATCCTATAATGTAATATCATAACCAAATAATTTTTACCCGGAAAAAAAACTAACAAGAATCAAGTTGGAAGCTGAATACAGAGTTTCTGTTACATAATGAAATATTCCTTGTTTCAAGGAAAGCAATTTTGTTTCAAAACATAGAAAAAGCGTTCAATAATATGGACATACATGTTTTTGTGCTGTCTGCTCATTTGGAAGCTTATCTCCTTTCTTGCGAGTCGTATAGAAAATATCAAGTAAACTTGGATCATTACCCTCACTTGCACCCTTCCATAACACACCAGTATCAATTATACACTTTTCTATTCAAGACAAAATTTATAAAAGATAAAACATGAAACGCGACTTAACTTTCATACCAAATCATCCCAAATGACTTGCCTAAAAGGCTTGCTCCCTGTTCGATGCATTAGATCATTAGAGTAACAACCTCTATTAGCAGAGTTTGTTGCACTTCTTTTCTGCAGAAAAAATAGTATTATGACATATCTACACACATTAGAGTAAAGATTGCTCAAACTATTAAAATTTACCTGAAACTGTTCACTGGAAAAGACCTCTCTTATAAGCCACTTCCACTCATCCTTTTCAAGTCCTTCAGGTGGATCACGATAGTATGCAGCTTTTAAGGTTATCTTCTTTTTAGTTATATTATGCCTTAACAAGTCTGATCTCCAATTTTTCCACAATTCTTTCATATGCTTAAGAGTATGCTCTTTGTAAAGTTCTATATTCTCATTATTGAAGACATCCTGAAAATTTGAAAAGTTGTTGAAGAGTAATGTTAAGAGACAAATTTATAAATACTAAGTTTTTACACAAACTATATGTATGTAATTACCGTCACTGCACTCCACATATGATCTTTTTCTCTTTCTCCTATGTCACCCCATTTGTGCACTCTCACTGGGCAGATATTTGTATCTCGTACTATAATTCCCAAATGTCTTGCCCATACTTCATGATTCTTGCCAACGCCTCTATTGTTATAGAAACTTATTTCAAGCTTTTGACCAGGTTTTAGCCTTGCTATTTCTTTACACTTATTTCTTCCCCTCTTTTTTTCAATCACTGATTTCTTCTTGGTATTACAAGAGTCAACACCTTCAACCAAAACAAAGTATTATTCAAAGTGTTGGATAATAACAAGAATAAAAATTGTAGTATATCACTAATAAAATAATGAATGTTTACCATTTAGATCTTGAACGACTATCTGATCTTCTTCTGATTCAGTGTCACTAATGCCATCAAGATCATTTCCCCCTTGCATGTTATTAGTATAGGAGCCCCCACCTTCACCGCATCGAAATAATAGCATGTGACATTCTTAGAAACTTAAATTCAGGTCTTCCAAGAACATAATAGAAAACACATATATTAACAAGCATTTTTCTCTTTTTTGAAAATTTACTCTATAAATGAAGTAGGGATATTCCTAGTAACCAATACAGATGAATATCTAATCACTACATTGCCTGGTTGTGAGAGGTAACTCTTATGCAAAGGCTCAGAGTCTGTGTTTTCAGCAGCCAGTGTGAAAAGTCCAAGTCATTATGGCTGCAATAACCGGGTCATTCGGGATTACCCTACCAAGATACAGATTAAGTTGTCCAAATACAACAATATCAGTAATCTAGAGTCATCACAACCACTTCATACACAAGAGGGATTGGATTACATATATTGTTGAAAAGTAGGAGGCCAAGTACCCTATCAGACACCCAAATTTTGCCTAACTAATTAATGAACTATCCAACTTCACCGCATTGAACTAGTAGCATGTAACACTCATGAAATCAAATTCAGATATCTCAAGAACATAATAGAAAACACATATATCCAGCTTTACCATTTGAATTATGTAGAGTTGTCCGGTCTCCATCCATTACAGTGGTTCTAACGTCAGAAGCAACTTTTCTTCCACTTGTGCTTTCATGTTGAACTTTACTTTTAGTAGTACAATTGCCGCCGCCTTCAACCAAGACGAACATGAAGCATTAAATATAGAGGAAAAAGAAACAAAAACAATCATTACATATTAAACCATTACCATTTGAATCTTGTAATAATGTCAGATCTAGCTCCAATTCACTAGCATCGTCAAAAATATTTGTTCCTCTTTTTTTTCCCGTCCGAGTATTCTCCTTGGAAGTAAAAGAGTCACCCCCTTCAACAATGACAAATTTTGGTTTAAATATTAAAT